ATATTTATCTATTTTAAACAATCATTCTATTATTATGTTTACTAATAACAGTCGGTATTAGGCTAAAAATATTGGTAATTCTAGGCCTAAGTCATTACTACTCACAGCCCACTGTGCGAAGCATGCACCATCATGCACGTTTTATAAACAACACTCAAAACTGGAGAAATATCGTGTTCAGGCGTTCAGGCATGCCCATGACGTATGCCTTTCTACAGTTAAATTCCAGTAAAATAATTTAATCCCGAAAAGTAGTTTGTTATTGTTTTGAGCGAAGCGATTTCCAACAGAAACAGCGTTTTTCAAAATAGTTTACGATTGAACCTAATTATGAAAATAATTATTTAGACAACCCAAACCATTGCTAATGTCGTAGAAAATGTAGTAGGAATCCTAGCACAGCACTGTAGTGAGTATAATTACAAATACTAGGCCTAAAATCGCGTATACAATTTGCGGCTTATACACCGGAATATACGGTATTTGCAATAAAACTATGATTATGTCACTTTCAGTTACATTTTCCAGAGGATCAAATCCTGGCTATGAAATGATGTCACCAAGCTAAGAAAGGTAGGCTTTAGTTTTCATAGAATATCGAATGAAAAGAATCTGTGGTATATTATAAAACATTTATAATGAATGTTGTAATGAGTGCCAACAAGTGAATTTGTAGTTTGAACTGCGCATGCCCTTATCCAGGTAATCAACATAGGTTTATGTTGACTGACCTTGAATACGGGCATGCACAGTTCAAACTACAAACTGATTTACGAAATGAATATTGTCATTCAACTTTGCTCAGTCTCATTTAATGAAGCAGTCCCAGGGATGTAGTTATAGTGGTGGATGGAGCAACCCAGCATTGGATTTGTCCACCCAGTCTAAAGCTAATTGAATGACCCTCCACCCACCTTGTTTAACTCATTGCCCATCCTTAAAATCCACTCTTATTTAGAGCTTACCAATGTTAGCACCTACCCATTCCTAAAGTGTCTACCACCCATACTTAGTTTTCTACAGCAACAACCCTACAGTACATCTTTCAACAAATGAAAATATTTCTCTCAATGCACTCAAAGACAGCCATTATTTGGAATACTATTATTAATAAATGATTCAGTTAATTATTATAATGAAATATTTTCAAATGCTTTTGTAATGCAACTACAAATATATATTTCAGGGGTTCTCAACTATATTATATAACAGAGACCAGGATTGTAGATTCGCTGAAGGCCAGAGATCATGCAAGATTGGAAAGTGACCTAGGGTCTAGAGGGGAGGGGGTGTATCTACGATCACACGATAAAATGGTAATGGTGTAAAATAGTGCAACTGATAGGCCTAGTGGCTCTTAACTATAATTGTTTTAAGCTTGTTCTGACAGGCCGGATAACACATAATCCTGGCCTGTGCTTGCCAGTTGAGAGCCCCTGTAGTATTTTAAGCAAATGATTTCTATTTAATAAATACATCCAAGATGGTCAACAGGAAAACATGTAACATTGGATGATGCATTCAAGTTTCTGGAGTTTAAAAACATGACACGAAAAAGTTGTGAACAGTTGGAAACACTATTTAAAAGTTACAGAGTATGCCATTGTGTATCACATAACTTTTGCTGTCACACATGACTAAGTTTGTCATGCATGACTGAACCCCAGGGCAGCCATAAGGAAGTGGTTGACATTCATCACAAACTGCGAGGTCTAGCTTAACTATGAATGACAGACTTCCAAGGCATAATTATTCCATGTTCACTAGCATCTCAACCTGCTAGGCCTAGCTATATGAATGAAAGACATTCAAAGAAGATTTTTTCGATATCCTTCATGAGCATTACAAATTACTAGGCCTAGCTTAAATATTACAGAAACAAGTATAATAACTATTATGCATGACTACAAATAATACATATTAACTTCTCTACATTCTTTTCTTTCACCACAAATAAATTAATTCTGTTACTTACTGACTTCACTTAGCCTAGCGCTTGATAGCAATGTCCATTTTTTGGTTTCATACTCTGACCGTCCAGACATGTCTGGCAACTTAACATGAGCACTCTGGACAAAGCAACATGTTACTAAGACAATAATGTCTGCCCATCGAAAAGAAGCCTGAAAATAAAAATAAAATTTAGTGACTGGAAAAAATAGTAACATAAATGAAACTCTGATAGACACTCTGACAGAACATGAATCATCACTAAAATATCCATGCATTTTTTCTTCTGTCAACTTATAAAATCTTTCAAAATTTATTATCATATTTCTGCTCTTTGTTAAATAAAATTTCATATGTTGAGATACAAGATACAATTTTATTGTCCTCATATAAAAACATACAATAAAAATTTGGTTATACAGTAGAACCTCGATTTTACGTATGGTACGGGACCGGAGGGCTTTCGTAAAATAGAGGTTGGGTTAAATTTGTGGTAACCTTTGACCTAATACCTTTGAACTAACGATGTTACCTAGCTAGGCTAGACCTAGCCTCTAGGCCTACGAATATAACCATGTGTTTAGTGTTTTTATTCATCACTTTACGATATCATAATAAAGTGTTTCAAATAAAATCAGGTGTCTAGTGTATTAATTCATCACTTTATGTCTTTTATTTAACTAAAGAACATAAAAATATTGTAAGATTACCTATACGACAAAGGTATAACTTGGGAATTCCCCTTCATGCCCTATTCTAAACAACAGAGCTGTGGTGTTGTCTGGGCCTGTTGAGACAAAACTCATGTGCACTGGGCGAGCCAACCAATTAGCGTTCGTGTACGAAACTAGGCCTACTCATCTTCGTGTAGAAAATTAGACCAGACAAGTTTTTCCATGGTTTGCCACACGAACCTAGGCAGGAAAGCAATTATTTTGAGCACCATCGGTAGTTGTTCATCTCACTCAGTTCACATGGTTTTAGATTATAACAACCCGGTATTAGACTCAATCAACGTTGCTGTTTAATGAAAATATGTTGCATTTTATGGTTTGTTTATTGTTAAAGTTTATTGTTATAGTTTTTTTACTTATGGTTGCTCTGAAAAGGGCCGTTTGTTTTGAATATTTTCGGGGTTTTTGATGACGTCATCGTCGATACGAGGCGTACGTAAAACCGAGGGTTCGTATAACTGGGGTACGTAAAAACGAGGTTCTACTGTACTGTACAGCTTTTCAAATTTAAAAACAATAAATTTAAAAAAGACAAAGGACATACAGTGCACCAAAAATAGTAAGACCAAGTAAATAAAGTGATAACATTAAAAAGTAAACTTTAAAATTTGTGAAAACAAAATTGCTTTTATATTTTTGATATCAAAATAAAAAAGCAAGCACCTACAAGTACTCTAAGTGATTAACAGTATTCTAGGTGATCAACATTAATCCAGGTGGCTTATAGTATTCTAGGTGGTTACCAATATTCCAGGTGGTCAACAGTACCACAGGTGGTCAGAAGTATTGCAGGTGTGCCAAAAGTTTTCCTTGTGACACTGATACTAAAGGTTATTCCAGGTATTCAAAAGCTACTAAACTGTATTCCAAGTGACCAACAGTATTTCAGGTAGTCAACAGTTACCTAAGTATTCAACAGTATTCCCGGTGGTCAACTTAATTAGCAAGAAGCAATAATTACCATAGCAGCCATGCGGCACAGATGAAGGCCCATCAAGTAGTAAAGTTGGCTTGCCATCTCGTTAAGGACATAGTCCCAGTTAGAATTCATTTTGAGGCTGTTGGCCCTCAACAGGCACTGGTCAAGCCTACAAAAGTCAAAGACAAAAGTAATTTAATATGTTAATATTCTTTATTATATCATTATCTGTACATTTTCACTGTCTTCACTGTTTCTTCTGAAAAAATGCAATGGGTTCTTTAAAGTGCAGACAAGCCAGATGTGTACACTGACTGTACTGACTTATGATCTTGATTTTGGAAACCATTCACAATACATACTAACCCCTTCAGAAGAACTACTGCATTGTGGGGAGGTTTATCCATCATAGCTAAGCTAAGCATGATCCACTTGCAAAGTGCCATCAACAGGTGACTATGCATCTCCATGATAGTCTCCTCACCAGAAGTTTTCTCTTCTCCTTGCCTGATGCTCTTTATGTAAATCTTGAAAAAAAACCAGAAACAAGCGACTGTGCTTACAGGTCAAGAGGCTAATTTGATTTTATCCTTTAAATATATCATGTACACAAAGACTTGGTATCTTTGGTTGACGTTGGAAATACATTTCAATGATGAGTGACGAAATGGTGTAAATAACCAATGTCACGCTATACGAAATCCACCAATCAAGTAACAGGGATCTATTACGAAATTAACCAATCAAGTGACAGTGATCTATTTAGGTGTTATAATGATCACTGGCTTAAAGTGCGCTGGCCTAATCAACATGGGCATCAAGGGTCTCCAATTTGTCAGCTCTCCAATCCATTAACCTCAGTCCAGACTATCAAATTACATTTGACAAAAATATGGAACATGCTTAAATATGGTCATGATTACATCACATCATGACCATATATAGGCACATCATGACTAAATATGGGCATACAACAGTGATGTCTGGTAGGAACTCACCTCCAGGGTTTGTACTGTGCTCTCCCACCAGATTGGCTGGTCTGCAACAGACTCCAGGTCTTGTGTCAGCAGAATGTGGTCGACTGCTTCTCGTAGTCTTTTCATCTCTATCAGGAGCTTCACTAGCTTACAGTTGAGGTAGTAGTCACCCTTCCTTTGCGCCTACAGAGACAGGAGGGGGTAATAACACATGATGAATTAGCAGTAACTGTTGGATGAAGAATTACCAACACAGGATGAATTGGCAGTTATATGAATTGTATGGCACTCTAAAAATATACTGTCCATGTAACGTTTAAATTTAAAAAACTTGAATATACTAAACAATTGAATTGATTACTTCGTATCTTTTATTTATTCAACTGATAATTTGAAGGGAAAAAAACCATTATTAATTTACCACCATTTTCATTATAAGGCAACAAATTAACAATGCCTCCAACTACTGAACAACATCTAAGATAAAAAAAAAAAAAGACTCACCAGTTTGTTTCGAAGATAGATTTCATAATCTGGCAATTTTCCTGATCGTCGGAAAATGTTTTCCTGTGGGAAAAAAAAGTAATAATATAATTTTTTATTGCTTAGCTTCTAAAAAAAAAAATAAAAAATAACCCATAAAACTTCATAACATTGTATTACATAATAAAGTAATATAATTTTTATTTATTTTTTAAAATTTTAATATTTCCTTTATATTTTTTTATTTTTTATTTACTACAGTATCTTATTTTTAATACTTTATTATTATTATTAATGTTGTACTTTTCATTCATACACTTAATCATTATTATTTCATTTTTTATTATTTATAATTCATGATACAGTACAATGTTCTATTTATAAATTTTAATTTGACACTGCCATGGGCAATGGTATAGACATTTTTTTTTTTTCACTATTACTTGTAGAAACACAAAATAGGTCTTTCCTAAATTAGTAGCATTGCTTGTGTTACTGACTGGAACGCCAGATATTTAGTTTCCAATACAAAGGGATTACATGGTCAGGACTAGAGGGAAAAAAATGGTTGTGCTGCGACCATAAAAGTTATTATAAATGCCTCCTACACCAAATGTTATGTCCAGCTAGCCTCCGGGGAAATGCGCAATGTCACAGACCAGCAATCATGGAATCGCACATTTTTTCAGCCGTGAACGTGGTCTAAAACATGTAGTAGAGTGACACCCTGAGTTAAGCCTTAACACGATTACATTCTTAGAATGCTATAAACGTGTTAATAAGATAATTACAAATGGAAGTAGAATGTAACACATCACATCACATCATCCAATTGCAGTA